ACGAGCCTGCTCCAGCTTCACAAGAGTTCACAAGTTTCACCACAGTGAGACTTGTAAACCGGAAGTAGTGAAGCAGTGAAAGTGCAAAATGCCCCCCCCCGTCGCCGAACTGCGCTAAAATTAGGTATCAGAAATGGATTTTCCAGGTCAAATGCAACTTCTCTCCCTCCGGCGACCAAATAAGACCTCTGCTAGAAAAGTTCTAATGTATGACGTGCCGTCCCGAGCTTACTTTGTAAAGGGTTTTGGCTACGTTGCCAAGCGCTATGTTGGCATTTATCCCACAGCGGTGTAGCCATTTGTCTCTTAGAGGCACTTGAGTAGATTTTTGTCTGGCTAACCTTTGCAAATGCAGCAATAAACCTCCCGTTTAGCTGCAATATATCCTCGTTTGACGTGTACGACGTTTGACGTCGACGCGCTATTAAATCCGAATCAAAAGAAGTGTTGTCATCGCGGAAAGAAGTCTATTCGACGCGAGGATTACAACAGGTTTTTCTGGTCCCGTCACGAAATTGAAATTCGGATACGGTGATGAATCGTAAACGGATGACATGGCAATCTCATCATAACGTTCATGAATCATCAAATGCGTGACTGCACGATGACATGGCGTTGATGATTAATAGAAGAGCAACGCGCATGGATGAATGTACCCCCCTAGCGGAACAAATGATCTACACATGATGGGCACTTTGGATTGCCAAAGGTTAAGGAAGTGTACTTTTTTTTACTGCCTCACTTTACAAGTCCTTTATTGACTATTTCCCAGAAATTCAGCCCTGTGGTAGATTTGCTGGAGATTTGCACCCCCTTGAGGTAGTTGCTCCGTTGAATACAAATATTTTATTTAGTCAAAGCGGGAAGCGGCAGATGTTTTGGGTCCAAATAGATGGGATATTCATGTAACGGGTGCCCACGTGCTCTAGTAAACAAGTTCCTAGCCGAAATATATCATTGGAGGAAAATATCGATAAAATGTTGGCAAGAGATTGAAGGAGTTGAAGGCGGTGTTCGGTTCGGAGGGGCATTTTGCACTTCTGCTAGTTTCTCTTGGTAAACTCTTGTGAAGTTGTGAAATCGTCCCAGTGAGCTACTTCGCTTACAGAACTCACAAGTCTTCAAAGAGTGACCTGTATAAGCTTAGGTGTGTACCATTCGGTGCCCCCATGAAGTCGAACTGCGACTCAGCTAAGTAATGCAGCAGTTTCCAGAAGGTAGATGCGACTATCTTGCCCCATGCTTCCGATGGACTGCTGTACAAAGGGACTACGGAAATTGTTTCGATTTCCGATTTCCGCACTCTGTGCAGTCTTGCAAACATTTTCCCGTTATCTCCCTCGACCCCTCCACCAGCACTGTTCTGCCAAATAATCACTTCGAAAGGTATCGTTCAACATAGGGGTTACGGTAAACAAGAAAGAGATTACGGTAATTGAGGAGTTTCGGCGTAAATGCATTTCCTGGTAGATCTTTGTGATAAACTGAGGGTGATACCGATGTGCCAGCAAGCGACTTGGGTGCTGATCCTAAACCGAAATAATCTTT